TTTTCTGTGTTTGCTTACGGGGTTATGGTTTCGGGGTCTGATGTCCGAAATCTTTGGCTTTGGCCAGAGAGAACCAGACACTTCATTTCAGTCTTCATTGATTCAGACCCCCCGCCTTCAGCCCTGGTGGCCACTTTTTTGTTTTGTTTTTCACCCTCCCCGCTTCCAGACTGACCAAACAACTTCCCCCCCGAGAGTATACTCCTTATTCACTCCTAATGCAACTTGTTTTTGACATTCCGCTGCAACCATGCTTTTTTGTTTTCACCTCTGATCACCAAGCTTTAGGACGTATTCTCAAATTGTTGCCCCCCCCCCCCGTTGCTTGGAATTTCCCAACTTGTCGCCAGAGAACCCGTATCTCAAGTCCTGTTTCACGGGCGGCGGGGTCGAGTGTGGCTTGACTTTATGGCCGAGTGTGGCTTAGATGTGTTCCCGGCCGCACAGGTCTAGCAGCATGTTGGATTCGTGAAAAAGTATCAAGCCAACTGCAGAGACCTAAGGCTTTTGCGGTCGACCCCTCCAAAGTACGCAAACGGTTCACCGCTTCATGGCTAGCCCAGCTAAAGGTCTTAAACAACACGAGGTTTTTCAGCTCGACACCTCTAAAGTGCGCAAACGGTTCACCGTTTCATGGCTGCCCAAGCTCTGCCAGGTAACTGTGCGAAAGTTCGGGCATCAACAATGAAATCTTGGTGAGCATCAAACCTAAGAAGAAAGCATCTATCTCGGGTAGGCCCTCAGTAGTTTTCCGAGCCTGTGATATGACCCGTGTGACAAGCTAATAAACATATACGGGCACATCAGTAGCTGTAAATGCGCATCAAACTGCTTCCGTTCTCTGCTCATAGCCGACTCAACGCGGCAAATCAAGCTAACCCACTGCTTCATTTATGCCCTGCGACCGCCGTCTTGATCTATTCAGAACCTACTTCTGCGCAAGGGCGCTTCTGGGATTGAAAGGGTGCTACCACCACCACCACCACCACCACCACCACCACCACCACCACCACCAGCACCACCACCACCACCACCACCACCACCACCACCACCACCACCACCACCACCACCACCACCACCACCACCACCACTACGACTACTACTACTACTACTACTACTACTACTACTACTACTACTACTACTACTACTACTACTAGAAACCCACCACCCCACCACGACCTTTCCAGGTGAGAACCAGTACGTGGTCACCGACTGCAGCGAGGCCCTGGCCCTGGACCTGAGCCGCTCCGACGCCTGGGCGGCGCGCGCCTGCGCGCGCCTGGACCTGGACGACACCGTGGGGGCCCTGCAGGCCATTGGCCCCGGGCGAATTCGGGGGGGTTGGGCCCCCCAACAGCGGCCCAGTCCAAGAGAGCGCGACTCATTTGGGGGTCATTGGCTTTGGTGCATTTGACCCCAAAAGCTGCGGGGCGTGGGATCCCTCGGGGTTTATCTGACCACTTCTGCGATACAAGGGGAATCCCCCGTTCTGTGAACCATTGAGTCTTTGGGGTTAGGCCCTTTCATGGCATAGAAGTGGTCATTCCCCACGGCACTGCCCAAAAACGGCGGGTGTTTTGGGGTTGGGCGTAAAGGGAAGCCAAGGGAACACGACTCAGTCGGAAGATTGGCTTTGGCGCATTTTGCCAACGGACGTTAGGACCTACCCCTCCACCAGATGTTCAGAACCCTGGAACCAGAAGGTTCTAAGAGTCAGCTCAGTGTATCAGAGGTGCATTTTGGCAACGGGTGTTGGGACTGAATGACATTTTGCCAACTAATGGGTTTTCCGTATTAAACCACTAAAAGTGACCATTTTTGGCAGGGGAGCAGAAAGCAACCGAGTAATTATGAATTCGTCTCCGGACAACTTGGCTCGGGACCCGAGCGCAAACAAATTGGGGGAAGGGGCTCTTCCATTTGGTTAAAATTATTTATTATGTTCCCTTGTTGTTTTTAAAGGCACTACTGGAAATATGTTTTTTTTTTTTCCAGGGGGCTGAAGCAAATGGAAGGAGCCCAAACAATTGGGGAAGGGGGTTGGAAGAATGAGGAAAGGAGAGCAAAGAATGATCTGATCTGATGGAAGAAAGGGTGGACTACAAGGGGGTTGCAAGTCCTTAAGTGGGGCCCTTAGTAACCCCTGCAGACCTCCATTTAGCTCATTTTGGGGGCACTAAAGGTTGCGACCCTCAGGTTTTGGACACAGGACCGGGGTCTCTATCAAAAGCATGAACGAACCGCATATGAACCCTTGATAGTTGGCTAATCCGCCCACAGGCGTATGGTTTTCAGGCTTGCAAAAGATCATTGAGGTCCCTTGACGCATGTCCTTTGCCATCCTACCAAAAGGAAGCCACCGTCCGCTTTTGTTTTTGCGGGGGCTGGGGGGGGGGGTATGTTTACTCGCTTCGGCGTTAAGAGCCGTGAGATCGCAAGGTTTGGGAACCTCTCGTCTGCTCTTCTTTCAAAGTAGCTTTGAACTGGCGCGCATCTTTCAGGTTCCTCGAAACTTGGCTGGTTCTCAGGCGAGAATGAGGGAGTGAGAAATGGAATGCACCCGCGAATTCCCGAATAAAGGAAGCCACCAGTTGGATTGTTTTTCTCGGGGTCGTTGCATATTTCATTCCCTAAAGGACACCCAACCTCTGGGTCATTTCAGGGGTTCCCCAATTGAAAAACAGACACCCCATGGCGGGTTCCTTATCTATCGCACCAGCAAGGAAAATATTGTACCACCAATCTAAGGGTTGTCCTACACCCTAGTGCCTGGCCCAAAATCCCCAAATAAACCCAAAATAACCAGGTTTTTCTCTGGGTGTGGGTCAAAATTAAACTACCAGGGCAGCGCAGGTTTTGGTCCATGTGGCCACTTACCGGGGTTCCATTTTGGGGTTACCCTATTTTTGACCCACAGCCATCTGGAAAAAAAGGCGCCCCATCCAACAGCTCCACGGGTTTCCGACAGGATGCCAAGAGCGCATTGGCGCTGGATCCGCAGGCGCGGACTCGGTCAGTTGCTTCAGTTTCGGCTGAGTTTGGGGACTCTTTCTCAACTTTGTGGGGTTGGACCAGTTTACTTCCCCAGAATTAGCTCCCCTTTTTGTTTTTGGTTTTTGTGTTTTGTTTTTTTTGGGTCCCTTTGTTTTCCACTCACCAGGCGAAACATATATGTTTTTTGGCTGGGGTCCTAATTCCAGCCTAGTGGCAAGCTGAAAGTTTGGACTTTTTGGTTGACCAGTCCACTCAGGAAGTGAGTGAGAATCTGTTGTTTGCCACTGTTGGTCTCAATGGACATCTATCTCTGCTGAAAAGATGTCATCTTTTTCTCAGGGGATTCAGGCAAATGGATGCTTCAGGGGCAACTTGCTCAGGTGTTCGGGCGGATCGTCCGAGAATTGTGCCATCTTCACTGCTGGTGTCGCTCCCCTCAACCAACAGTCACCACCAATGGGAAGACCAGTTTAGTGGCAGGGAGTTTCTGAGGGAATTTGTTTTTTGGTGGTTTTAAAGGGAAACCATTTTTTTCTTGAGGGTACCCTCCTCTTTATGTCGTTTTTCCCAAAAAAATGGACCTTGAAAAGGGCTGGTACCTGTCTGAGGTTTACAGGGAGACCAACAGGCAACCTTTGGCCATTGTTGGAGTCCTTTTTTAGGGCCCTCCCCCAAAAAAACAAACAATACAGGATCACATTAGTGGTCTTCCTCTTGGTTTTCCTTTAAACCCTACCCTATACAAATTAAAGCTTTCCCTTGAAAACCACCAAAACACAAAAAAAACCCACAAAAATGACAGCTTTCCCTTTAACACCACCCAACAAGCAACAACACACCCTCAACAAATGACAGCTTTCTCAATAACCCCCCCCCCCCCCCCACAAAAAGAAAAGAAGACAAACAAAAAACAGATTCCCTCAAAAAGATGACCTCCGCAAAACAAATAACAAATTAAAAATAAATAAATAAAACAATCCGGTGGCTTCCAGCGGTCCTTTTCGCCGGCCGAAAAGTTCTTGCGGGCGGCCGTTCAGGACGTGGAGGCCTGGTGCGCCTTGGGCGGGGCGCTGCTGGACTGCAAGGACCAGGTGGGCGCGGCCGAGGTGCGGAGGGGCTGCGTCGGTGGAATGGCGGCGGGTGGACGGGGGGACGGGGCGGGAGGCTTTGGAAGCCGTGGGGAGGTCTTCCATGGGCTCGAAACGGGGGGGGGGGCTCGTTTTTTTTTGGAGGGCACTCAGGTTTTTGGTAGGTTTAAAATAAAGGACATCCAAAAGGAGAACCGCTTTCTAGCCTGCCAAACTGCCCTTCCATGTGCTGAAAAGGATATGTTGTTTCCCCTGTTGGTTTGAAGGTAATCTACTACTGGACGCATTTTTTCCGGGGAACTTCAGCAAATGGACGGTTTGAAGCATGTTTGAAGGTCATCTACTACCGACAGCTGGAAGCCTTGGCGGGGCGATTCAGAGCAGCAAGCTGTTGGGGGGTCTAAGCATTGGGCTGGATGTGGTCTTGTTGGCAGTTTTGAGTCGGCAAGATAGTCTGTCGGTTACCATGACCCGGCAAAGGGCAAGGAGGCAAGGATCAGTTTGCCTTGCTTCGGCGCGCTTAAATTGAGGCCGCGCTTCCTGTCGCGCGGATTCGCTCACTGGGATAGTGACCACGCCTTAGCAAGTTGCGAGTCATGTTCATCCTACGAACCTTGACCCGGTCTGCAGGTTCCATCGTTCAGGTCTCCTAGGTCCCCCAGTAGTGCCCTTATACCCTTTTTTGGGGAGGGGTTCCCCTACTAAAATAGACTACAGAAAAAAGGTTGGCGCCCTTATTCTAACCTCTCTAATCTGGAGGACCTAGTCTCGTCCCCGATCTGGGCCAGCGCCAATCCTTTGGGACGAACTTTCTGGACCGATCGGCTCAGAGATTTGGATCTCTCGGGTGGGCTTCTGACTGCATTTCGCCAGCCGGTTCGCTCGTGCCCTGCAAACCCTGACATCCTCTTACCGATCCGTTTAGCTAGTTCCCAAGAGAGAAATATATAGGCACCCACAGAACTGCTTTTGGACAAGACTTGGACATTTGGACATGGGAAGAAGCAGTTACTAGAGCTAGGTTTTCGAGTAGTGCCCTTTTGCTCTCTCTTTTTTTGGGAGAGTTCCCCTACTAAAATAGACTACCGAAAAAAGTTGGCGCCCTTATTCTAACCTCTCTACTGGAGGATCTGGAGAGGGTGCTGGAGGGGATCTGAACCTGATGGAGGGTGTACCGAGTGAAGAAGTTCGGAGTTTTGGAGTGACTTCTCGGTAGACCCCACAAGGGTTGCGAACGATTCATCAATTTTGAGAGTTGGAACCACCTCCAAAGTGGTCGGTGAACAGAAGCCCCCACAAGGATGTCTACCAAGGGGTGCCCAACCAAAATTCACACCCATCTATCTAGGGGTACCTTGCTCATTCTTTCCAGGGATCCTTCTTTCTATAGAAAACCTCCGCAAACCCAGGAAAATGGCCGGCTTTTGGAAAAGAATGGGGAATCAAACCCTAGAATCTTTAGTTTTTAACTTTTCGGTTGAAATCAAGTTGGGTTTTCCACTAAACCCCCAAACAGTGAACAACTTTTTGCAGGGGGTCAACAGCAACCAAGAAATAAACCAACCATAGCCAGTTTTTATCCGGAAACAAAAGAAACACGCCCCATCCAACAGCTCCACCGGTTTCCCACAGGAGGCCAAGAGGAATCTCGTCGTCTCTGCGAAATCGCCCCGCTCCGAAGCGCGCCGAGCCGAAGCGAATCGCCGAAGCGCGCGGGAAGCGCAACACGGCCAGGCGTGCACGCGGGCTCTGAAGCTGGATCCCAGCAGCGCCAGGCGTTGCGGCGAGGTTGAGTCAAGTGACGGCCCGGTTTCGATGGACACCTGCCATTTGGTGAGATGTTTTTTTTTTTTTTCCCCCTGTTGGTGAAATGCATATTTTGGTGAAATGAATATTGCTTTTGAGTTTTGCCCTGTTGGTGAAATGAATATTCTGGTGAAGTGAACATGTTTTTGTTTTCATTTTCCCCTGTTGGTTTTAAAGGACATCGATTTCACTACTGGAAATATTTCTTATCCTTTCCAGGGGCTTAAGCAAATGGAGGACACAGGTTTCGATGCACTGCAGGGTGGGCGCACCATGCGTCCTTTTTTTTCGTGACGCACACAAATGTGTGGGGAGGATGCCCTTGCGCAGTGGAGTGGTGGTTAAGAACAAGAGGCTGGCAGGTCGCGCGCACAGCGACGCCCCATCATCAGGCTGACCCCTCGAGTGGCTCTGTTCTTTGTGCATCCGTGCCGCCAAAGGCATTTGGATCAAGGTGTTGAGGACTCCTCCATACGGCCAAGCACGTGCAGACAGCACAAGTCGCACAAGTTGTTGAGCGACACCCCCGTTTTCTTTACCCAGATCTTCGGAGTGGTTCCAAGCGGCTGTGGGCTAGTGCTCCAGAAGGTTCGGGGGGCGGCTGTTGAAAATACCACCCGAGTTTACTTTTGTTTTGTTTGCTGGGCGCCCTTCTAAACCTTGCTGTTCACAGGCAATCCGCAACTAGGTCCCCAGTGCCCTTTTGCCAACTTTTTTGGAGGAGGGTTCCCCTACTGAAATAGACTACCGAAAAAAGTTGACACCCTTATTCTAACCTCTCTACTGGAGGACCTAGGCAAGATCCTTATCTGCGATTACGAAAGGTTCACAGTGTGTGGCAGGTCGCTCTTCGCGCATCAAGAGCATGCGCGCGTGACTTCACGCATGCTTTCCCATGGCCAACAGACAAGGCTCCATGCTGGTGCGCTTTTTTTTTTGGTGGATCCGGGGATGACCCCAACACACTACACAGAACCAAAAGCACAGCACGTCTCTGTACCAAAGCCTCACTTGTCCCAGCTTCAAGCGTTTCAGAGCATGCATCTTGGTGGCTCCCAGCCATTCACTTAGCCTTTTGGCTTTTTGGCGTTTGGCAGTTTCCGAATTTTTCACCCACGAAAAGTGAGGCTCACTTTTCAGCGGCAAAATCTGAGGGCAGGCAGCCCCAAACCTGCGCCTTCCAAGACCCCCATCCAATACCCAACTTCCCTTCTGGGGATCATTTGCCAGCCTTGCAGGGTGTAGCGTGTCGCCCCTACGATCATGACGAAAAAATTGAGGTTTTGAAACCTCCCAGAGGCTTATTCTAAGTGCCTGGGGGACCCTTGCAGCACGGCTTCTTCTCCAACTTTGAGACCTCTCAAATGGAGAAGGTTCAACAAAATAATTAGAAGTTTGTGAGCTCCCCGGGCGAAACACAACTCGGGGCCTTGAGCGAGTGTCAGGGCCTGGTTCAACCGCGGCTGCGCACGGACGGACCTCAAGGACCTTGAAGGCACGGCTGAGTGAGTTAATACGCGGCTGCTTCATCAAATGGGTTCTTGCCAAAAAGACAGAAAGAAGTTGTTCAATCAGAAGACATCATTTGTAGGGTACCCTCTTTCAGGAAGGGAAATCCAAAGGCAGCACGGCACACTTTTATCAATAAATAAGTTGATGAGTTAAGTTAATGACAAAGCACATGCATATGGAACATGACCCAGCAAGGAGTTAAAATAAAGAGGGTCCCGGCGGGGAACACTGGTGGCCGACCAAGCAGGGCCCCTTTTCGTGCTTCTATCATGTTCAGGCGACCAAGTGATGCCATTTCTCAGGTCAAAGGATGGAGGTTTGTTGGGAGTCCAGAGAGGACCTCAGTAGAATGAGTTTGGAGTTTGGGTGGCTTTCTTTGCTAGGTCCCCCAGTAGTGCCCTTTTACCCTTTTTTGGTTGGCAGGGTTCCCCTGCTAAAATAGACTACAGACAAAAGGGTACCCTTCTAGCCTCTGGAGGACCTAGGTGGCTTTCTTTGACTGAAAGAGCCAACTATGGCCTCAAGACTTGGCGGAAGGCCCTTGCCTCACGATCTCCAGTTGACCAGGTGTTTGGAAGACTTGGTGAGTGCGTCGCTCCTGAACGCTGAAAGAAAACCCTCGCTTCGGAACGCTGATTAAAACTCGCTTCGGAACGCCAGAAAACGTACTAATCGCTTCGTGCTGGGTGACTTAGTGGTTTAGTAGGGGTTCCCATTTAACCCAGGAAAAGTTAGACTCACTTTTCGCAGCGGAGCTGAGGACAGCCCACAGGTGTTTGGTGGCTTAGTGAGTGGCTGTGTGTGTTTCCTGTTTGCCCCTGTAAACTTCATTTATCTTGTTCGCGGGCAATCGGATGACCGCAGGCCGTCAAAATGGCCCTCCTTATTTTGCCACTGCTCCTCGTGTTGGGTCGCAATTTTGAGTTTTGGTCCCAGCGGCGAGCGATCGCCGATGCGATGAGCCCACTGTTGGCTAGTTGAGGTGTCTTTAAAGTGGGGGGACCCTCAAACTGCATTTGTCTAATACCCCCTACACCCGATACCCACCCTTTTTGGGGGTATCATGTCAACCCTCCACTAAAAAAGCGAGCTATTTCCCATGGAAGACCAGGGTTGCCCCCCAACAAATTCCCGAAAAAAAACCGCCGGCACTTGGAGTAGGGGGATAGTTTCTCAATCTGGGTGTCTTGCCCCCAAAAAAATACCTGATGAACAGCCGAGTAGGGGGGGGGGAGGGGGTAGTTTCCCCATGTCCTTAACCCAAGTTCCCTCCCAAAACCGGCCGCCCAGCTCCCTCAACCGCCTCCCTCAGTGGCTCAAAACCGCCCGCGAGGCGCGCGGCGCGACTTCGACGAGGCCATCGCGCTGTGGCCCGAGAACTTCTTGGCCTGGGAGCACCGGAGCCACGTGCGGCTCAAGCAGAGGGACCTCGAAGGCGAGGTGTTTTTAACGAGACGACGCGTTTGTTGGGCTTTCCTTCTTCCATGTGCTGAAAATATTTTTTTTGCATATGTATATTAATACATATATATATATATATATATATTTGGGGGGGGGGGTACCATATATATGTATTCCCCAGTGGGTTTTAAAGGGAATCTAGAATCTATCACTACTGGAAATAGTTCTCACCATTTGAGCTGCGGCCTCAAAACCAATTCGGGTAGATGAAGGCTAGGGACAATCCGCTTGCCATAAATCGCTGCGGATGTCCGCCTTCTTAATTCTTGAAGCATGGTTCTGGGTAGACCATTTTAATACCAGGTTTTGATTATGACTCATTTGCTGAAAAGAATGTATATATATATATATTCATACTCCCCAGTTGGTTTTAAAAGGAATCGATCACTACTGGACATATGTTCTCAATGTTTCCAAGGGGCTTAAGTTCCTGGACTTTAATCTTTTTAGGAAGACCATTTTGGTGGGGAACGATACATTTTTTCGGCCAACCTCCTTTCCTTCTAATTTCTCTTTAAAAAGGGGACCCTCGCAAAAAAAAGAGACGCCCACTTGCTTAAACATTTGCTTAGCTCACTTGCCCAAAGCCTTTTGGTTTCCCTTGTCTGGAACACACTTTTAGTCACCCCAAAATGAAAAGGTTGACATTTTACTGTTGGATCCTTTGGGCATTTGAGTTAAGAATGCCTCTTATTTTTCCGGCTTGGTGTAAAGGGGCTCCATACATATTTTCTCATGTTTTCCTGGGGACACAACACGCAAATGGAGGGAAGGGTCGCCGGGCTCGGTCTCGGCGGTGGCGCGACTGTGTGACGTTCACAGTTTGGCTCCGGTTTGGTGTTTCGTTTTCAAGGTACGCTTTTCAGGTTGGTTTGAAGGGAGGCTGAAAGGAACCGCCCACCGTGTGGGGGTCCTAAAGGTTGGTTTGAAGGGCTGGTTTGAAGTGTTGGTTTCAGGTTGGTTTGGCGTTTGTACCCTGAGCGCCACCTTTTTGGGGGTAGCCCTTCTTGCACACACCCACTCGAACCGGGCCTGGCACCGCAACACAAGGACCACCTTGGTGCGAAAGTTGTCACGTGGGGTCGTTGGGGGTTCTGTTTCCGACGGGATTTCTGCCCTTGTGACGATTACCGGCAAATGCCGGGTGAAGTGTTGATCTGAAACCCAGATGCAAGCTGCAGAACCAGCATGGACTCCTTGAATAGGTTGGCATGGCTCGGATGATGGGTTTGTTTGACATAGCCAAACCCTCAAAAGGAGCTTGCTCATGATTTCCCTGTGAAGGGTACCTCAAAAACAGACGCACTCGAAAGAGTGCCTGTTTTCTTGGGGGTACCCTCTTGGGCAGGCGGTTTTGAAGGAACAAAGGGTGACCTGTCCTGGTTCCATCTAGGCAGACGTATGGCCATTCTGATGGAACAGCTCTCCCTGGGTGAACCGCGGTTGTTTCAGAGCGCTGAAAAGGGGAAAACACTGCCCTCTTAGGATTGAGACCGCTTTAGGGGAACATCCCCTATGAGCAGGAAGGTTAAGCTCTTCCGGGATCAACATCTTTGTTTGGTTCTGTTCATCTTTGCCAAACCTCCCCGTTTTTGGCCGCCCTCCCCGGGGGTCTGCGACCTATATGTTCCCTCAATTTTTTTGGTCCAGGAGCCCAAGACCGAAACCTGGGACGCAGCGCCGCGGACTTTTCCGAGGCGCCATGGAGGACAGCGTGCAGGCGCTGGAGTTGGATCCGCGCTTGGTGACGGCCATTTGCCTCCAGGCCGGGGTTTCGGGTTTCGGGTTGGTTGGGGTCAGGTTGGGAGGTGGGGATGGACATCCCCGGAGATTTCTGGAAAGGCGGGTGTCTTTTGTTGAAAACACCTCATGTTTGCCGGTTTTAGAGGGAGAGTAAAGGGAAAACCGCCATTTTCGGGGGCTCCCCTACAGAGTAGGGATGGTTTCGGAACACAACCAATCGCATAGTGCCCCCCCCCCACCACCCCCCAAGCGAATCCAAAAGGAGAGGCCCCCCTCCCGGAAGCAGAACCAAACGGTGGCAAAAATGCTTCTTCGCAAACGAGGCCAGCGGCCATGATTTTGTACAAGACTCTGTCTCCTTGTGTGTTTTTTCTCCTTTGGTGGAGGGGGGCGGGTCTTGGGGGGGGGGTGGTGGAGGACCTGGCACCTCTTCGTGGGTTTTTCTTCAGTTTTTGACTCGGGTCTCCTTTGCCAGTTTGAGGGTCCTATGCTGGTCTCAGGGAATGAGAAATGGAATGACCTTCCCCTTTTCAACCATCCCCGATTTGCTTTCCTCCTGTGTTCACCCTGGGTCAGTCTCTACTTTCCCACCAACTTTGCCTCCAACGGACACCTCCAGGGGTTTCCTACAGAAACCCTCCAGAAACCCGCGCAGCCTTTTGAAGGTTACCTCCCAAGGACCCCCCTCGCTGCGGGTTCGGTAGGCCTCTTTCCATCGCGATGTTCTTTTAGAGACTGTCAGCAAGGGTGTTTTTTTGTGGATCAACCTTCCTCTACCATCCCTTGAGCTTTCCTTGGCTTCTCGGAGTGGTTTAACCCGATCCCCAATGCTTCTTTGGTGGCACCCCTAAATGTGTAGAAACCCAAGTGGAGGCCACCTTGCTTCCTCCGGCAGCTTTCGGGTGCTTTTGACACTGGTAAATGGAATCACGGGCTAAAATTTGCAGTGCCCTGGTGGTTTCATTTTGATCCATACCCCACATGGTGCGTGCTGTTTCAGTTTCTTCTACTTGGGGTTTTGAGGGGGATGTTTCGTGCGGATTTGAAGCCTGCCATGCAATGCACTCGCACGGTGCATTTGCTCGACAGCCCGCTCGATGCATTTCAGTCTGTCTTTGTTGAGAGTACCCCCAAGTCCCAAAAAAAACGTTTCGGCCAAGGGACCCCCCCACCATTAAAAAAACAGACGAGCGTCACTTGCCCAAAATGGCCGGCTCCCCCCCAAAGCAAAGCACGATCACGAAAGCCAGCCTCCTTTGGAGGCTTAGGCTGAGTTCAGTTTAGGCGAAATAGGGGGGTGCGGGCGGGGAGGACGTTTTTGGGCCGTTTTTGGGCCATACTATAGGGGATTTGCCGCGTCCAATTTGAGCAGTTTTTGGGCACCTGGAGGGGGTTGGGCTTCCTGGATGGAGTGGGCTGGGGATGCTGGGGATGTTGGAGATGCTGGGGATGCTGAGTCCTGGGTTGGTGATCGGAGGGGGGATTTCCCGCGTCCAATTTCAGCATTTTTTGGGGCGGGGATGTCAAGAATGCCGGCCGCTGAAGTGAAAGTGCCCAGCATCCCCAGCCCGCTCCAAAGGCACGTTAAGAACTCTTAACGGTGCTATTCAAGTTCAGCACAGCCTGCTCACCTTTCCAGGCCCGTCACAGCGAGCAAGCGGCACTTCGTTGGAAGAATCCGGTCCAGGAGCGCTCATCGGGAAAAGGTGTAAAAAGCAGTGCTGATGAAGACTGAGTAGTTTGTAGAACAACAAGGATGCCCAGGGCCGAAACTTTCACTTCAGCGGCCGGCATTCTTGACATCCCCGCCCCAAGAAGGGCTGAAATTGGACGCGGGAAATCCCCCTTCGCATGCCCGAAGCACGGCCCAAAAAATCCTCTCCGACCACGAGGGAGCAAGCGGGACGTCGTTGGAAGAATCCGGTCCACGAGTGCTGAGAAAGACTGAGTAGTTTGTAGAACAACAAGGATGCCCAGCCACAGAGAAAGGCTGCAATGTGTCTCCGGGGGTCTGCCGTGTGGGCTGGGGCTGGGGGCGCAGGGCACGTTCGGCTCCGCCGTTGTGGGGACGTTAAGCTTCACAGAAAATTTCCCGCATCCAATTTCAGCACTTTTTGGGCCGGGGCTGTCAACAATCCCGGCCGCTGCCGTGACAGTGCCCAGTATCCCCAGCCCGCTCCAAGGGCACGTTCAGCACTCTTACCGGTGCTATTCAAGTTCAGCACAGCCTGCTCAGCTTTCCAGGTGGCCCCGGGCATCCTTGTTGTTCTACAAACTACTCAGTCTTCCACAGCACTGCTTTTTGCAGCTTTGCCCCATGAGCGCTCGTGGACCGGAAGCTGCCAACGACGTGCCGCTCTGACGGAAATGCCTTTCCACAGAGACAGGCTGCCATGTCTTTGGAGGCTTAGGCTGAGTTCAGTTTGGGCGAACGAAGTGAGTAATAGGGGGGTGCGGGTGGGGAGGACGTTTTTGGGCCGTTTTGGGCCATACTATAGGGGATTTGCCGCGTCCAATTTGAGCAGTTTTTGGGCACCTGGAGGGGGTTGGGCTTCCTGGATGGAGTGGGCTGGGGATGCTGGGGATGTGCTTCCATCCTACAAGCAGCTTGCAATCCTCTGTACCGCTGTACCTGTCACTTAGCTGCATGTTGCTCTGCCTGCCCTGTGACAAAGTGCTTTCCTGAGATGGGCCGCCTACGTTCTCCGTCGAGCTAAAGCTGGGCGACTCCTTGGCGTCATGGACGCCATCATGAGCTACTGGAACCTCTCGCGTCTAGCCATGTAACAGCTTGCATGCGTGTCTTCATTTGTGCACGGTGCTGGCGCGTGCGACTGGTTTCTTTGCCCCGCATAGGAAGGGTCGCGCCGCTGGACGCACAGCTTATTTGCCACTTCCTACTACGCGACTGCGCGGCTTGCGGGGCGCACGCCCCAAGAAGAAGGTCCAGCTCCGACCAAATCGGGACCTGCAGAAATTGACGCTTGCCGGCGTACTCCAGTTTGCGAGTCAGTTTTTCTTGAAGCCGCTCGGGGACTACATCTATGGAACGCGAAGCCAGTGGACGGTGGACATTCAAATGCCGCTGGCCTAAACCTGCTCCACCCCTTGCCCTTGCAACGCTGCCTTTCCGGCGCCTTCGTGCCTTTCGCTGCCCTTACTGCTTTCTTCCTACCTGTCCGCGCGTTGTGCGTCCAGGATCGCAGACCTCCTGTGGCCGTCTAATCGGCTGATGCCGCCACACTTGGAGGCAACCCTGCACGAATTGCACATCTTGCGACAAGGAACGCCTATCTTACATTCATCCAAGTGGACACTTGCTTGCAGTTTTTCTCAGTCTACCGCGGCTTTTTCCTCTTCTAGTTCTTCTCCTGCAGTTTCCTGTGCTTAGGAATTCGACAAACGCGAAGAACTTCGGGTCCCTGCTGGGTGCCAAGCCACATGCTGTCCTGGCCAGTACGCTGGACGAGCTTCGCATATCATGCCGACAGCGCGATGCAGACTTTCTAACGGACAAGCTCCGAGACAAAGATGTGCTCGTCTTCACGGCCTGCAAGCTACAGACGTGTCTGCAGCACCTTGCTTCTCACTCTCATTACGCGTGTCCTTTGCCTACGTTCACCTGCTGCCTCTCTTGCTGCTCAGGAACTTCTGCGTGCTGCCTCGGAGCCAATGGATTCTCAACCACGGCGTCGAGTTGCAGCCTGAAGTCAAGGCTGCCCTCGTGCCTTTCCTGTGTTATCTTGCCACACCTTATAGCAATGTGTCGCACTGAGGACTCGAAAGCCCGCTGGGAACGCCCTTAGATGTTTCACCTTAGCGAGCATGAGTTTTGCGGCCAACAAACATACACGCTTCCATCGTTAGCAGTGCCGTGGATGCAGCATGGCTTTGAAAGAGAGCAGCAGCCGGCAGTTTTTCTGCACTTGGACAGGGTTGGGCTTGCTGGATGGAGTGGACTCGGGATGCTGGAGATGTCGAGCTCAGGGTCCTGCATTCTCGACAGTTCCTTTTCGACGGTTCTCTTTCGAGGAGGTTGGTGCTACTGGGTATGTCAAGCTCAAGGGGGCTGGGGATGCTGGGGGATGTCTAGTTCAGCGGCCTGCATTCTTAGCACTTCCGTTCCCAGGGGGTTGGGGATGCTGCGGATGTTAAGCTTGAATAGCCTGCGATTGCTCGGCACTTTCAGTTCAGCGGCCCCATTTCTAATTCTTCCGTGTCCAGGGGGTTGGCGCTGCTGGGCTGGGATGCTGGGCATGTAAAGTTCAGCGACCTGCGTTCGTAACAGAGCTGCGACAGACATCCAGCTCGCATTATTTCTGGTTGTAGCTGCGCATGGCTGTGTGCTTGTCTTTTCTCTGGTGCACACAATAGTCGGCATGTCCAGTCCAGCCGCCTGCGTTCGTACCAGCTCTGCCTTGCCTGCGCTTGCATGACATGCCCCAGCGGGAGTCAAAGCTTAGGCAGATAAGTGCTCCACTGGATGGGAGGGCCCGGTGACCGGTGGCGTTTGGCGCGGCTTTCCTCGGCCTCAAGGGCCCGGGTCCTGCGTTCTCGATGCTTCCCTTTCGAGGGACTTGGTGCTGCTGGGACGCAAAAGGCGATTTCCCGCGCTGAAGGGCACTTGCACGGGGAACAAGCTGGCTTTCGTGCGCTTCCTTCTCAGGTTTTCTTCGGCAAAGGGTGGGGCTCTGCTTCCTAAAAGGAGACGAGGCGGCAAAGGGAATTCGCCACGTTGGGGCTCTGATTCAAAGCAACAAGGCCACCCAAATTGCCCCGCCCCGCCCCCCCCCCCCCCCCCCCAACAAAAAGTTTTTGAGTTGTTCGGCCAAGGGTGGGGCTCCGCGTCAGGCCTCCTAAAAACAGACGAGCCACCCATCCGGCAGGCGGAGGTGAAGCGCCTGCAGGGGGACCTCAAGGGCGCGGTGAACGACGCCACGCGGGCGCTGAAGTTCGAGCCCTGCGCGGCAGCCTTCTCGGTGCGCGGGCAGGCGGCTTGGGGAAGGGAGTGGAGATCTGGCGGCACGTGGGGCGCGGCCAGTTGTTTTTGGGTGCTTGCAGGGCACGTCTTTTTTGGGGGGCACGGCCGGTTTTTTTTGAGGGGTGCCCGTTTTTGTGGTGGTTTTTACAGGGAAAAACAAGAAAGAAGTAACCATTTGGGGAAAGGGGTGACATTTGGGCACGGCGTGTGTTTTTTGGAGGGTACCCCAGCCTGTTCACATGGAACCTGAGGCTTTTGGGGGCGGGGGGGGGGGATAAAACAGAGGTTTTTTTTTTGGGTTCCTGTTTGGCGCTGCTTTTTTGCCGGGCACGTCTTTTTTTGGGCACGTCCATTTTGTTTGAGGGTACCCCAGCCTTTTCACCTGGAACCTGAGGTTTTTGGGGGGCAAAAAAGATGTTTTTTTGGCGCGGTACTCGTTGTGTGGCGGTCTTGCAGGGCACGTCCATTTTTTTGGAGGGTACCCTCCCACCTGACGTTCGGGGGGATCCTAGTTTGGAGCTTTTCCGTTGAGGGTCTTCTTCTTTTTTTGTGGTGGTTTCGAAGGGAGAAAAGACCCCAGGCGGAAAGCAACCATTTGGGGAAGGGGACATTTTGGGCACGTTTTCCTTTTTTTTCTTCTTCGGTATGTCTTTGTTTTTTGGCACGCCGTTGGTTTTTCGAGGGTAGCCTTCCACCGTTTTTCACCTGGAAGCTGAGGTTTGGGGGGTGGTTTGGACCACCGAAGGTCAGGTTTTCCGTGTGAGAAGGGTGGGAGGGTACCCGTTTTTCTAGGGGGCACTTCCCCATTCTTTCCAGGGATCCTTCTTTCCAGAAAACCATCAGAACTGCAGGGGAAACAGCCGGTTTTTGAAAAGAACGATGGTTGAAAAGAATGGGGAATCAACCCCTGGAGTTTTGTGCTAGGGACATCCAAGAGGAAGGCCACCAGGTTGAAAGGTCCCCTTAAAAAAAACTCCCCGTGAGAACCCGTGCAGATGAAGGTTAGTAAGGGTATGCCGCCGATTGAATTCTTTACACGGTTTTGGGTAGACCATTCAAATACCTGGTTTTGATTATGACTCATTGGGATGTGGTTGATCAATATTCCAATGGTCACCCCATGTAATGGACCTTTTCATCACCCCCCAGATCTTCTGAGGAGGCGTGCATTTGGATGACATTCGCTTTTCTTAGACCTGAGAGAGCATTTACTCAAAGTGGATATATACTCTAAGGGGGTGCAACCGGAAAAGGGAGCCAGACTCATTTTTTTGGGAGGGGGACAGGAGCCCTCAGTTCGCAAAGATTTTGGCATCCCAACTTTGGAAACTAAGATAGAACTGCAAGGCTCATGACCAATGCAAGGTCCGGGACCCTCCAATGAACCCTGACCAATTCCTTCGGGGCCCTGGAAAACCCACCGTTTTGAGCAGGGCTCCAAAAAAAAGAGATCTCCATTTTGCCCACCCTTTTGAGTTACATGGCTGGCTTTTTCAACCAAGTAAAGGGAAACCCGTGACATGGCAATGTTCAGGTGTGTTGAGGGCCCCCAAATCCATCGAATTGGAGCCTTACGGTGCGAAGAACAGAACTTTTTTTGAGCGCGGCTTGGGGTTGCAAACTCATTGGACCCCAGACGAAACGCGACGCCCTTGGCGTGTGAAGGGAAACCCAAAAAAAGCTGAGCTGTCTTACTGCTCTTCAATTATGCTAGTTTGCTCCATTGGTTTGGGGAGTGCTTCTAGGGGTACCTTCCTCATTCTTTCCAGGAATCCTTCTTTTCTCGGAAACCATCAAAATCCCAGGGGAAACAGCCGGGTTTTGAAAAGAACGATGGCTGAAAAGAATGGGGAATCAAGCCCTAGAAAAATAAGCTGAGCTGCCTTACTGCGCTTTAATTCTGCTATTTGCTCCATTCGTTTGGGGAGTGCTGGTCAAATTACTCGTGGACGAGGGCCCCAATTCGCAACTGCCGGGACCCTTCCCGAGTTTCCGGTTCAATTACACCACGGGCGGCCCGAGATTTGGGGTTTCATCTTTTCGGATGCGGTGTCCGATGGCGGGATCCGATTGGGGTTTCGAGATGGTACCCTTTGTATGGTTCAAAAGGAAAACCGAAACCATGCGAGTTGACATACCCATGTCCTTTTTGGGACAAGAGGTTTTGAACACTCCCTTGCACGCGTTTGCTCATGGGCGAAGTTCTCCACTTAGCACGAGGCAATTCCTCCATTTTACTTGGTATCTTGTGTTTGGCACTGCAATCAATGTTCTATCCCCTCTTGGAATTCCGATGTTCCATCCGATGTTTATCTCTTCGATTTTCCAGAATCCTATCCCTGGATGCCTTACGACTGAGTTTGAGACACATCTGATTCTGTCCTTTGCTTTCCGTGCTGGCTAGTGGGAGGCTTTCCCGCTTGAGTCAGTGAAATATTCAGGCTTTCAGGCTGACATGTTACAATTGTGGCAACCCGCCCAGAAAATTTGTGCCGCTTTTGTTGTCGTGTGGGGCAGCAACTTGCGAGCCGCACAGGATGCTTGTAAGCTTGCGCGGTTGCTGTTTTTTGAAAGGGGTGGGAGTCCCTAACTTCCCCTCTCTGGTTTACATATCGCCGTTTGGGCCATTTTGAAATGCACCTTTTGTGGGAAGTCAGACGCGAGGCCTATTCAAAGCTGGAGCGTCATGACAAGGCCGTGCAGGAGGGGGACACAGAAATCAGTCTGGCGGACTGCGCCTAAGGGCGGTGGACTGCGCCGCTGAGGTGTTGGTCTGGGTTGGCCAATTTTAGAAAGCGGTTCTGACTCCACCGCTTGGATTGAGGATGCTGAGAATAAGATGTTGCAAACAGCACCACCATTGTTTTCGGAGCAACTCGCAAGGAGGTGGGCCCATTTAAATCGTGGTAACAACGAAAAATTGTGGAAAACAAAACATGCACTACCGCTCATCTTTTTTTGGGATTAGGCGTGCCAGCAGGTACCCACCCACGCCAGTGGCCAAAGGTTTGGCGAGTTTTCAATCTAGACTTTAATCCCCAACCACTTGTTTGGATACTTGCGCGAACCAGCCAGCCAGCCAGCCAGCCAGCCAGCCAGCCAGCCAGCCAGCCAGCCAGCCAACCATCCGACCAGCCAACCAGTTCCCCAACCAGCCAGCAAACCAACCGCCCATTTGGAGTTTTGAAGTTTCTCCATTTGCAGGCTTTCCCCTCCCCAAGAAACCATAAGAGATCTACAGGGCACCTTTAAATGCAAGCCACGTAAGGGACCCAGAAGAACCAACAACGAGACTAGGCATCAGGCATCCTCCCCACCCAGAAAAACAAACATACAAACAAACAAAGAAAACTACACAACCAGCACCAAACAGCAATCACCCCCAGACCCCACTGAACCACGGGAGAACCTCCGCTTCCGAAAAAAAGTGTTCGATCGGGGCAACAACGGGCACCCAGGCAGCGATGCAAACCGGGGAGCAAAGCACACTTCAGGCGCTCGAACGGGACCCCTCCGCCCCGAAAATTTTTCTCAGGGGCCAGTCTCAGCCCCCCGGCGCGCGATGCGAAGATCGCGCGAGGACTGCCAGCGCGCGGTGAAGTTGGACCCCCCGACCTTGGAGGCGCCGCTGGTGGCGTGGCGCCACGGCACCTCCTCCACCCCGCAGGCGCGGTGCGCGCCGGGCTGGCGGACGCGTGGGGGGAAGGCGTGGGGGTCGGCTGGGGTTGGGGGGGTGGGGGGGGGGGGGGGGAAGGACGAGGTTTTTTTTGGGTTGTGGTTGTTCGCGCGAAGTTTATGCAGCCACTTCTGTGGTACTTTTGGGGTTCGGCCCTTTCTGTTGTATCACAGAAGTGCTTCAACCAGTCCTCGGGTTGCAGAGAGGTTGTTGTAGTTTGTTTTTGGTTTAGTGGTTGGGTTTTCGAATTAAACCCACGAAAAGTCAAGCTTTTTTCACGAGTTTGAGGACAGCCCAGTTGGGTGTGGCTCAAAATTGAGGGGCTAGGGCAAACCGCAGGTTCTAGTCTTTCCATTTACCAAGGTGGCAAATTGTGATACATTTGTTTTGTTTGTTTTTCGGCCACAGCCGTTTGGGATTTTCGGGTTTTCGGGTTATGGGGTTTTGGGATGAAGTTAAAAGGGGCCTGTGTTTCAATTGGCTGTCCCTGGTAGGCTGGTTCTGGCTGTTTCTGGCCGGTTCTCATCCGAAAAAAAAAAGGAAAAAAAGAAAAGCGGCTAGCCCAGCCAGCAGCCCGGTTACAGAAGCCAGTCTGTGATCACGTGATGTCGACCCCGGATTATTGAGGGTCTGCCAAGCAGTGATCAAGTCCCTGTCATCCGCATACTTGACCACACAGCAAGGTATGCTGTTCTCCTCTATCTCCGGTTCACGTTGACTTAGTCCGACGCATCGTCTGGTGTTCGCTGGTACATCTTGACCACCTCCAACGGAATCCACCAGGGACCTATAAATTTTGAACACGCTCATGTTGTTTCTTAACATGTAAGGGGACCACCAAAATAGGGTGCTTCCTTTTGGGTATCCGCAAAACGCCTTCCGGGAACAGGGGCCGGTCCTGCAGGTTTGTTTCGAGCAAAACTCAAGCGAGGTTCGGTATGCCCGTGCCCGTGTGCAAACATGGCACGGCGGTGAATTTCAAAGTCTCAGCTAGTTGCGGTATAGAAGGTTATTTGCCCCTCACAGGGGTACGGGCCTGTTAAGTCATTCTGTACCTCTAGCGGTAACTCCCGCTTGCATCCTTTCTGATTCTAGAGAACCACAAAAAGCCCAGAATTCTCTGCGCCGAGCGTATCGACAAGAATGAGCACTCAACCCTTGACATCCTTCTTAGCCCTTAAGTGGTTAAACCTTCCACTCGAAATCCCCTGGGCAGGGTGGAGGAGAATGGATGCCGTTGTTTTTTCTGTACCAACATGCGATTCTCATCCCCATTCATACATGATCACTTGAAAAGAATCAGCGAGTGTCCCTGTCCCACAACCATGCTTATCGAGACCAACCTGGAAACCCGTGTGATGTATTATTACTCTACGTCTGATCCCTGAAGAAAAAGTTCTCTTCGGACTCAAAACAAGGAACCATGGCCAAGGCGACCGGCCTGGGAAATGAGAAGGAACAACAGGCAGTTTGAGGAGTCTCCTGGGACCTTTCCTCATTTCCAGGGCCATCAAAGTGAACATGTTGAAGGGATCCGCCCAAACAGTCCCCTTCGCCGGGAAGAGTCGAATTCTCTTATCGAGTGTCACTTTGGATCAAAGAGATTCTGGCAAATCGCTGGTGTGCTTTTCTCGCTAGTGCTCAATTGGGGATGACCCAGGATTTTGGGAATGAACCTAGGGAGTCCCTCAAAGGAAACCATAGGGATGTTTATTTTTCTCGGGGTTCCGTTTCTCATTCCCGATCGCATCTCTCGCACTCATTTCCCAAAGGGCATGGGCCAAAGCTCTGAAGCCTCGAAGGGGAGGGCCCGCTCACCCGCTTGAGTCAGTCTTTCGGCCCGACGAAGTTGGCAAGTGTATCACTTCCACTTGTGGGTCAAATAAAAACCACCCAGAAACCATTCGCATGTTTTAGTCTTTCCTGCAGGACCCATTGATACACAAATGTTTGCTCGAGCTTTCATGGCAAATAAGTGCGCGATAAATGGTAAAATCAAACATATGCAAATGCACAGATTGCGGGACGGAGCTTTGGCTTTGCACACTTTTTGGAATTGCGCCCGAGTTGCGGAAACTTGCGCCCGAGTTGCGGGAAATTGCGCTCGAGTTTGGATTTGAGCAGAAAAAAACGCTCGAATGCCAAAAACTGTCTGGAGCATTTTTTTGTGTATCAAAGGGTCCTCCAGGTTGGTTCCATTTACCAGGGTCCCATGTTGGGTACGCATTTTTGACCCACGGCTACTTCCATTTGGCCGAAAGAAACCAACTTGTTCCGCAGCTGGGAGCGAGCAATTTGGGCTCGAGATCTGCCCAGAAATCGGCGATAAGGGGTGGTGTGGGATTAGGTAGGGTTTCGAGGAGGGTTCCAGAAAGTTCTGGGGCATATCACCTGTTTTTTTTTGTTAATCCCGTTGGCTCTATAAGGGACCTATCACTACTGGAAATATGTATATATATATATATATATGTATAATATTCTTCTATGGAGCATCTGCAGCTTCGCTTCTCTTCATGACGACAGGGAACGGTGCTTTCATACATTGAGGGAACAAGTTGCTCGATGTAATTCGCAGTTCACTGTTCTTCGTAGCTTATGACAAAAAATGCAAACACGTGGTTGTTGCTGGGAAACATTTTGCATTTTTGCTTATTGTGGTTTAGTGGTTGAAATCCAAACCCACTGAACTGCTGAAATTTGCAAACCAATTTTTGCTCCCCAAACCCAACGTCAACCAAGAACAGTTCGACCCGGAGGCTTCCAACTTGTCTCCTACTTTGCGGGGGGGGGTTGGCGGGGGCCCCCGTCCCGTGGGCCCAACGAGAGGGTGTACGGTCTGACCTAGCTGAGCCCTTTGGCCGTTCAGAGCCGCTTTTTTTCTCGGGGTCTCAAAATTGGTCTGGTCACCAGGTGTGTTGTTTTTGCCGCTCGGTGTTTCTTGGAGTCAAGCCAAAGAGGTCCTCAACGCTGCAAACACGGCCAGGGCCTGGCCTTCTTGAGGACTTTGGGATGCTGCCCGACAGGGAACCCGAAAGTCTCGAGGCTCCAAAACGGTAAGCATAGTCACTCTCAAGCAAAACAAAGCAGAAAGAAAAAACGAAAAGGAGCAACAAACCACCAGCACCAAGCCCCCCCCCCCCCAAAAAAAAAAAAAAACGGAACAAACCGCCAGCACCAAGCAAAACAAACCAGGAGGGGAAAAAACAACAGGAAAACAGCAACACTAGCACCAGCATCTGCGTCCATCCCTCGTTTTTTGTGTTTGCAGGCGGCGCCAATGGCCCAGTGGGAGGTGGAAGCCCTGGAGGCCCAAATTCTCTGCTCGGATGGGGCGTCTGCCGGCCGGCCATGGGTACCAAACCACTTTTCCATTTGGTGAAATGAGTAATGTTGACCCCGGATTAATAAACCCCTGGTTGATTAATAGGGGGGTGTCCCCTTTTAGTGGGGATTCATCACTTTTGGAGGGAACACCTCGCTAATAGTGGGACGGGTTTATTAATCCTGGGTCAACATTATTTGGTGTTTATTTCCCACTGTTGGTTTTAAAGGGAATTTCTCCCTACTGGAAATATGCCATGGGTGAAACACAATATTTTCCATGGAGATATGGGGAAAGCCCGCTTTTCCCATGAATTTCTCAAAGGGTTTTATCTGCCAGCACCCGGGGAGCAGGGGGTCTGATCAGTTTTAGAAATATGGCCGCGGGTCAACACCAACGGTACCATTTTGGGGTAGGTGCACTACCCATTCTAGTCGATTTTAGTGGGGATTGGGATGTTCATGGGGGGTACGGGGTTTTGACCCACAGCCATATGGGGAAACCACTTGTCCCATGAATCTCAAATGGTTTTGTCCGATTGGCCACTCTCCCTTCAAAGTTTTCACCTTTCGAGCGAGGCTGGCAGATTCACTTGCTCAGTTGCACAAAGCAAATCCTCCTTTGTTCTGACATCGGAGTGTCTTGTTTTAGGGGTCCAAAAATGGCGCAACGGTTCTTGTTTCAGTTTCAACTTTGAAACCACCCAAACAAGGGAACCCTCATTAAAAAGAAACCTGGACCCTCAAGCCACCCTGAAAAATGCGCTATTGCCATGAAATGGTAGTTTGAGGGTCCATGTACACCCAGGTTGCTTCCTTGCCTTGTTTTCAGCTTCGTTTTTCTTTAAACAAGAATCACATTGTGCCACTGAGGACCGAGACATATCGATAGAGACGCCGGTAAAAGGCGCACTCCCCTTCAAGTTCCCTTTCGGAGTTAGTCACTGGTCTAGCAGCAAATGTCAAAAGCAAGACGTTGGGGTACTTGTTTTTGGCCACTCCACTCGTTCGGAAGTGAACAGAAGATGCTCAACATGAATTGGCTGTTTCCTAAAGGCATGGCAATGGAAACGGGCTTGAAAAAGGTTATAATTTGCGGAACAATTGCCATGCATCGCTTCGTGGTTCCCAGACATCCCTGTAGGTTTGTATTTTTTAGGGTTTAGTGGTAGTTGGTTTCCACCAAACCACTAAATGTTAGACTTTATGCACGGGATCTGGAAAACTGCAATTCATGCCTGGTGATAAAAGATGTTGGAGGATTTGCCTTTGGATTGATCAATCCACTGACCAAACAACTTTGACTCAACTTTCTGCCTTCGTGCTTTGTCGTGCCAGGGTCAAATGCCATCGAAAACAAGCGCCAGGGATCCCTGCATACTGGAAATGGGTATGGATCAAAATTAGTCACCACCAGGGACCGCAGGTGTTAGTCCATGTTTCCGTCTACCAGGGCATCCACTTTTGGGGTACCAACTTGTTTGACTCCCACAGCCATGTCATTTAGCCACTTGAAAAGCAATTTTAGGGGTGACTAACGATTTTTGACTACGTCATTTAGCCACTTGAAAAGATCCGCTGCCAGCGTCCTGTTTCAGCTGACGGCGTTTGGCAAATTTTGCCTCGATCGGAGGCGAAGCAGAAGGCGGAGGCGCAAGCGAAGGCTGCCAAGGAGCAGTTTGCGGGGTGGGGGGGGGGAGTGGGGGTAGGTGGGGGGGTAGGTGGGGGGTGGTAGGGGGGGCAGTTGGGGTGGGGGTGTGGTTCTTTGGGGGATCTCTTTTTTTGGTCTCCCTTGAAAGGCAACCAGAGCCTGTTTCTGCCCAACCCTTCACAGCAACTCAGTGGCCTAGGCAGTAGGGCTAAACAAAGTCACGTGATTGTCCTGTGAGGTAGGTTGGTTTAGTCCCCCGCAACTTCCATTCTAATCATCTAATCATCCAGGCCCTTGTCCCAGTACTTGGTGACCCATATAGCTGAGCCCTTTCTGAGGCACATGTGCCCACCCTCGTCATGTCTTTTGTGTCTCCTAAAGCCATCCAGCAAAACGTGACCCGTCGCGGGCCGCCACCAAAACATGGTTGTTGTTGGGACACATTTTACATTGTTTTGCTGTTGAAATCCAAATCCACTGAACTGCTAAAATTCGATGATTTTTGCTCCCCTTCCAACGTCAACCAGGAACCCCCCCCCACCCAAAAACGGGGACGCCTCCCCGAACCCAACACCAAGCCAAATCGCCGCAGGAGGCGCAGGAGAAGTTCCTGCGGAAGCAGAAGGCGGAGGCTGCGAAGAAGGCCCAGGAGCAGGCGTGGCTTGGACAGAGGTCATTTTGGGTTTGTGTGTTTCTTGTGGTTTTTGTTTTTCCCGGGTTTTCCCGGCAAAGGTGGCAGGGCGCGACTTAAAAGTGGCAGGACTCATGCATAATTTGTTTTTCCACAGGGTGTCCTCTAAGTCCTGCCCAAAGTGGCAGGTTTTCTGGAACATTCACGTTTTGTGTTTCCATTCTTCGAGGGACATTATACGTCAGGTAAGTGGGTAGTAACCCTGGTGAGAGAATTCATGCAAGCCACGAGCCTCCGTTCAGTGAGGTATCTCACCGATCGCCCCTTTCAGTTGTGTCCTCCAGTTCCCTCGAGAAGTGGCAGGAAATCCAGTGACCCCTTTGCTTGGTTCCCCATTTGGTTTCCTAAACCGACCCAAAGTGGTGCCCTTAAAACTGAGGCGCCCTAAAAAGCCTCTGCTTCTTGGTGCGAAACCAGGCCGCCCAAAAAGCGGACGCGGGCAAGTCGAGTCTTTTTGTTGCAAGCTTTATTTCCGAAAGGGATCCCAATTGTCCAGAACGTCACAATGGCTACCTGTACAGAGGGCAAAGGAGAGACAAAATTTCGGCCCAGGTGAATGCTTCAACCATGTGTCTTGAATTTGAGGCTTGGGGCTCCCCCTTTTTGAGGGCTAGGCAAACCCACTAGAACCCTTCACAGCCTCATGTGGCTGTGGGTCAAAAATAGGGTAACCCCAAAAATGGCACCCTGGCAAATGGAACCAATGACTAAAAGTGACTAATTTTGAGATTTTGGGTAATCTCCCCTAGGGTGTAGGACAACCCTTAGACTGGTGGTCCAAGTTTTTCCTTGGTTTAAGTTGGACCCATACCCATGTTTGTAGACCAAACCTGGCCCCAAACCACCCGCCGGGCCCCGGATGGATTTTTTCTCGGCTCTCTCGGGATGCGACGCCGAGGCTCAAGGCCTCCATGGGCCGGCGGAAGCGATTCTGAGCGCGGGGGCCTGAGTCCGCTGTGGTCCGCGGCCCTGCCGCGGACCTGGCAAGGTCCGGCTCCAAACGGATTTTTAGAGGTGAGCGGTTGGGTTTGAGTGGTGGGGTTTTCGGGGTGGGTCAAGCTGTTGTGTTTTTTTTCCCCGTTGGTTTTTTCTTGATGGCTTTCGAAGGTTGGTTTAGTGGTTGGGTTTCCGAATTTCCGGTTGCGGACAGATCTTGTCCGCGGCTCACTTCCTGAGTTCATGGACTTGAGTCGCTTTTTTGGGGATTGGTTGTGCCATTTTAGGCACCTGGAGTCTCCGGTCTCCTTCTGATCCGAATCAAAAATAGGTCCATGACCCCATTTAGGGTACCCAACCACTTTTAAAGGGTCAGAAGGAGACTCTAAACACAACTCAGTTGCCCAAAGCCGACCTTTTGACCTTTTGGTTTTTCCTTTTTGGTCTAGTTTTAGTCATGGCCCCAAAAGGTGATCACCTTTTATTTCTGGGTCCGAACTGGGCAAGTGAGACAAAGCTCAGACCATTTTTTGGTTTCCCAATCTGCTCGAAAGGCCATCGGGTTCCAAAGAGCTAGCAAGGGATCGGGGATCTGAGGACAGTTTAGTTTCGAGGTTCGGGTTTTGTGGTGGTTTTCATCCGTTAGGGCACTGGGTAAGGTCCCTTTGGAGCCGCGAAGAAGAAGTAGTGGCAGTTTATGTACATTGGGGGGTTTAGTGGTAGCTCTACATGTTGGGGGATACTGTATGTTCCATAACGTGTGTTTTTTTGAGGGGGTTTAGTTGGTTTAGTTTTACACTTGCGGGATGTACACGTGGGTGTGGTTCCTTCTTTGGAGTTGGTCGCCCTGGTTTGGTGGTGAGGGAACCAACAGGAAAGCCGAAGCCTTTTTTGGGGGGCGAGGGGTCTAAATCAACAAGCAAACACCCATGTGTGACAGGTGTGAAAACCAGGCTTTGCTGTGGCCCTGGCGTTGCAAGTTCGCATAGGTGTCCTTTTGATCGGAGGTTTATGTCCGATTTTACCCAGGAAACCCATTTATTTTGCCACAAGGCCATGTTCTGGGGTTTGTTGCAAAATTGGCTCCAACAACAAGGCCCCGGTTAAAAGGAGGTTAATTCAAACAATTAGTTGACAGGGGTCTCTCCGTTCCCTTTTTCGGACCTCCAGAAACTGGCCAATTTGTTGGACACCAACTGCAACTGAAGGGGCAATCCAGTGACCCCTGTCAACAATGGATGTCGGTTTTCCATTTGGTATCCATTTTGAAAGCAAGGTGAAAAAGGGACTCAAAAAGAAATGCGCGCACACACACACACACATATTAACAGTAGTCCACCCACCGATCCCAAATCCACCGTCACTGTAGTCCCCATCCCAGAAACACTATCAGCCCACAGCCCTACGCCCAAAGTCCCAAGCCCCCTCCACCAAACTGCAAAAATCACCCCACACGCACATACACATACACGCACAACACTCCTTGCCAAATGAAAACACGTGATATTTGTTGTGCAAAAACCATTGCCCCGCTTTGCTATTGTTTAGGCTTGGTTCTCCTTTTGCGACATGTTGAAAACAAAGATGAGCAAAACGTAAGGGTCGATTAAGCACCATTTTATATGTAGTCGTTTGAGAAATCATCCTTGATACACTCAACCCAAAGCATCTAAGAGGCCTAGGGCCAGCCATGATTGATCAACCTGTAATTTAATCATGTGCACGTGAAGGATGCCTCTCCAAAAGTGGACGCTCCCATCTCTCCGTATCTTACCAGGGATTGATTCATCCTACCAATGTCCCGACAAGGGTCTGCTGGTTCCCTCGCGACACTCTGATCCACGAAGTTGCTCAAAACCGCGGCAGCCCCCGAATTCAGATTGTGGTTCAACTACTCAACATCCACAGGGCCACAGGGCTTTTCCATCAAATCCGAAACGGGTTATCCGTTTTTCCTTGGGAGTTGCGGTTCCTCAGTCCCCTCCATGCTCACCGAGGTCAGACGCTTCACCTGCAAGCTGCGTCGGGGCTGGAAATTCGGCAAGCTTGGCCCACAAAGTGGGAGACAAGAAGACGCCTTTGGCGCCCGAGAGCCCAAAAATGCATTGAGTAGTTGTGGATGCTCAGATCTTGGCCTTTGGCGATTCTGTTGATCCTTTGTTTGGGAGGTTCATGATCTGCTTGCAAGCATTGCCAGTCAAAGCTGCTGGTCAAAGCTGTCTTCCAAAGGGTGGTTTTGTTTTTCCCCCTAAATTCTTTGTCTCTCCTGTGTTCGCGTGCTTCCTTCTTGGAACCGGGAGTTTTGAGCACGGCAGGACCACGACAATCTTGCAACTGTCTTCGACGCCCAGAGTGAGGCTGCCTGACTCTGTTTGACGCATTTGAAGTTAGCTACCAGTGGAGCGTGGACAGCGTGCTTTAGGGAACGGCCTTGTTGATGTGGGCAAAACAAAAGAGGAAAGAAGAGAGAAGAGGAAAGAAGGAAAGAAAGAGGAAAGAAGAGGAAAGAAGAGGAAAGAAGAGGAAAGAAGCGGAAAGAAGCGGAAAGAAGCGGAAAGAAGAGGAAAGAAGAGGAAAGAAGAGGAAAGAAGAGGAAAGAAGAGGAAAGAAGAGGAAAGAAGGGGGAAAGAAGAGGAGGAAAGATTGTCCCAGCCAAGGATGTCAGGGGCAGTTGGTGTAGTGGTATCACACCCGCTTAGCATGCGGGAGGCCCCGGGCTCAATCCCCGGACTGTCCATGCTCATTGTGCCTCTTTCTTCTCTTCTTCTTTCCTCTGTGCTCCATGCTCCTCCCTGCTCCTACCCTGCCTCCTGCCGCCTCCTGCCGCCTCCTGCCTCCTGCCTCCTGCCTCCTGCTCCTGCATCCTGCATCCTGCCTCCTGCTCCTGCCTCCTGCTCCTGCCTCCTGCCTCCTGCCCCTGCCTCCTGCTCCTGCCTCCTGCTCCTGCCTCCTGCTCCTGCCTCCTGCTCCTGCCTCCTGCTCCTGCCTCCTGCTCCTCCCTCCTGCTCCTCCCTCCTGCTCCTCCCTCCCCTCCTCCCTCCTCCTTCCTCCTTCCTCCTCCTTCCTCCTCCCTCTTCTTTCCTCCTTTCCTCCTCCTCTCTGTTTTTTTCACTCAGACCTTTGCGTTCTGTTCAGTAACCCTTTGCAAGCAACATAGCCGGCGGCATCGTTTGGGCCAAGCACCTCCTAAGGAGGTTGAGCTTTTGTGGGTTGTGGGGGTGTCTTAAGTTCTTGGCCCACGAAGCTGTTTCGCACGTGGTTGGAGCCCACTTAGGTTCACCTAATCGCTGATTCTTCAAAATCTAGCTGCAAGACAGTGGGCTTTCTCTGCAAGTTGTGTTTCCCAATTTTCTGAAAATATGTTTTCTTGCTCGGTTGCCTTGAAGGAGCAAGGCTTTGGCCCCTTTGGAGAAGATAGCTCCCAGCTTCCAAAGAAACAGTGAGTTTCTTCCATTCTTCCGCTGAAAAATCGCGTTTTCGGTTTTTGTGCCCAAGTGCCTTGCAACCTTCTCGGCTGTGCTGTGGTCATGTGCTCAGCGTGGCTCAGCGATGGGTCCGGGTCTTGTGCTTTGGCGGTCAGGTGGTGACCTCCGTGTACGGCGATTTCTTCATCGCTGAGCTGATTGAGGACCGGCAGAAGGGCATTTTTTTTCTGATTAAAAAAGAAATCAATACAAACAAAACAACGGCCATTGTAAGGGTCCCCAAACTAAGAGGCTGACCCACATGAAAGAATCCTGGCTTCACATGGCTGAAGTGAAGCCAATGACCCAGTTGCACTGCGTGGCTCCCATTTTGGCTCCGGTACCAAGAGGGCTTTAAGCTCCCCCGCCCGCTTTCGGGGGCTTCCAGAGGCCTTCCGTACCACCGCCCAGGCGCAAAATGAAGAGAACCGCGCCCTGGTCGCCGAGGCTCGGGCGGCAGAGAGGGCGAGGCCTGGGACCCCCTCACTCCAGCTCTCGGTCCTTTCGCGTCTTGCAATAGCGCGTAGGACTGCAATGAGAAGGTGAAAGGAATTTCTTTTGGGGAGCTCCATTGATCGGTTCCAGAGGAGGTTCTTTTCTGGCGAGCTTGTTTTACCATCATGGGCTTCAGCTGTTTTTTTTTTGTTGGCCTTGTTCTTTGGGGCGGCCTTGTAAAGGCGTTCAGCTTGTGGCATGCAGGGCTCCCGAGCTTGCCAACTTCGCCCCATATTCTTGGAGCTCAGTTTGCCAAATTCGCCAAAATCAAAGACTCTTTTGGGCTTGGCGCCCAGCAAACCAATGTTATTTTTTGTCCGTAGGCAGATCTAAGATCTTCCCCAGAAAGCTTTGGCTGGTGCTTTGGCCCAGCTTTCAGGGAGGTTTTCAGGTGGCTGTTGGGTCCTGATACGGGCGGACACGCAGACCGGCGACTGCGTCGGTTCGCGTCTGCGTCGGACGTTCGGACGTTCGGAAGGTGGAGGGCAGAGCTGTGGGTCTCATGTGCCTCACCAGCGATGTGGACATCAACGCTTGGGGCCTGGCGATCGGGGGAAGGTGGTTCAAGGGACCCTTGAAGACGGTGCCCACATGAAGTGTGGGCCAAAAAACAGGGAGTTGGAGCCATAAATACTGGAACCAACCTGGTAAAGGGTACCCTCAGCCCCCCCCCCCATTAGCCCGTTTTGGGTGATTCAAAACATCGCATTTTGCGCAGATATGGAGTAAAGCAGTATAGCTTTTTCCTTTCTTCCCTATATGTCCCTTTTGGGATCATCAGTGTGCAAGAAATGATGTTCATGAGCTCCAAGATGACCTTCCTTTTAGACCTCTGGAATCCTGTTGGAGTCGAGCGCAAGTTGTCCAGGGCTGCGTCGATGTAGGAAAAGATGAAGGACATATCGCTGCCAAAGAACTCACCACACGCGGCGGCCTTCCCGGCCATCCGAGTACTTTAAGTTTTTTTGGTTTCTGGTTGGTTTGGCGGTAGCTTCCACTAAACCATTAAAAGTGGGCGACTTTTAGCAGGGGATCGCATTTTGTGGGGGCAATTCAGAGGGTTGCTTTTGGTGGGTGTAGGGACATGTCCTTTTTGGGCCAATCCACTGAGAAAGAGAGAAGACCCACAACTAGCAGAAAAGCAGTCTCAACTGAACAAAACCACCTCCCAGCCCAGTTGTTTGCAATCTCAAGAGACGTATGAACAAAGAATGTATTTTGTCCATAGAGCAATGCCACTCAAACCCATGGTGACTCAGGAATTCAACCGAGGTGCATGTTTTACATCTTCATGCTCTCGTGCAGGCACCTTACTGTTCCTTCCTCACTACCTTACAGATACCCCCTACTCCAAATACCCACTTTTCAGGGTATTTTGGGAAAAACCTGGGTTTCCATTGTAAATACCTCCTGTTTAGTAGAGAGTAGACATCATACCCTAAAAGACCGTATTTGGAGTAGGGGGTACACTTCCAAACCAATGAACTCTGCGAAGAGAGAGTCTTGGGGCCCGATCTTGGCTTCCAGGGCCAATCGCCTCTTTCGCCCTCGGCCTCTGTTTTGATTCTCATTGGGAAGCCTGGCAACATGGATGTGCATCAGAGTCGGTGGCGTTGTGCGAATTCGTCATGGACACTCCCGGAATTCAGTGGCCCTTCCCGCGTTGCCATGGCAGCTGAGTCACACTGAAAACCCGGTTCACCATGTGTGTACCAGGTGTTGATTCTGACTCACGTGGCCATGGCACCTGCGGCACCTCTGGATCCGTTTCCTCTTGGGACGTTCGGGATGGTGTCGGGGGGTGGGTGTCTCAGTGGGGGGTGTTCGGGGTCCACTAAGCTCCGAGGTCCTGGCCCAATGCTTTCAGCTGGACCCCTACGACAACCTGCTGAAGGCGCCCTACATGAAGCCCAAGCCTTAAGTGAAGCGAGCGAGGGACGCAAACGCCACGGAAACGGAAACGCGCCTTCCTTGCGAGAGGGGAGAGGTGCGATCGGGAAGGAGAAATGGAGGGAGTCTGACTCCAAAAAATACACACATCCAACTGGTGGGTTCCTTGAAGGGGGAAATGCCTTGCGATCGCTGCGAGAGATGTAGGGAATGAGAGGTTTGGAGTCTGACCCCGAGACAAAACAATCCCGCGCTGGTGGTTTCCTTGAAGGGCACCCTGGGTTCATGCCCAGATTCCCTGAGCACCAGCAAGATGCGGCTTCCAACCATCGAAGTCGATCGTTTTGTTTTGCTAGCTGGTTGGAAGGGAGCCGTGCTGGAGCTGGGGGTGTCCAAATTGGCCATTCAAGAGGGCGCTGTTTCGTAACGGATCTTTGGACTCTAACTATTGGTTGAAATAGGAGGGGATTTTCCAGAGGGGGCCCACCAAAAGCGAAAGACTTTTTACAGCTACAAAAGCTGATGGGACAGTCATGAGCCGAGGTTTGTCACGAAAATCTTTCTAGCGGTCTGCTTCTAGGGAGCCATTACAAGACTTGGGAACGATATTTGGAACCGGAGCAAAAGCGGTTTAAACCACCGGAATGGCCGTGGACCCATGAAAAAGGATACCCTTGTTTGAAAAACATCCCGCCAGAGTTCACATGGAACCTGAGAGGTGGTCTCTTTAAAATAGAACAGATGATCTTCCAGACCCCCCCCCCCCCCATCCTGTCAGATTCTTTGTGCATCGGTGGGAGGGTACATCATTCAAACATCCAACAAGCTTATGCAATGGCTGGGCCAAACCCCAAAAAAAAATCCTCAGGAGTGGCACATGGCAACTTAAACCCTCCTCCTCCCCCCCCCCCCCCGCCATTTTCCACATGCGCTGATTCGGGGCAACACAAATACCACTCTGCGGGGGTTCTGGTTTCAGTCTGCCAGCATCGCATCTGACTGGGCAGCCATGGGGGCTTGGCCCTGGGCCAAGACCCGGGCAAGTGGGCGCCCGCAGCCAAGTCAGAACTGGTCATATTTTGAAAGTAGACGAAACATCGGGTAGCCCTTGGTTGATTGGTGGATCAAGTGGGTGGTTTGGATTTGGATTTGAGCCGCTGCTTCTTTTACAGGTAGTGGGACAGGTAACTTGTCAGGTAGCACCCACAATCAACACCAATTCGGGTAGATGAAGGTTAGTACAGGACA